TTATGGAAGATCTATTGCTTTTCATAGTACAGTAAGTCTGGAGCCAATTAAATCCTTTGAAGCTCCTGGGACCATCAATTCTGCATCTCTTCATCCTGAGAAGGAATTTCTTGTTGCTGGTGAAGAAGACTTTAAACTGTAGAATATCGTTATAATGATGGATAAGAATTAGAATCCTACAAAGCTCACTTTGGTCCCATTCTCTGTGTGAGACTCAGTCCTGATGGTGAACTCTATGCCAGTGGTTCTGATGAAGGGACATTGTGGCAAACTGTGGTAGGAAAGACCTATGGCCTGTGGAAACCTGTGCTTCCTGAGGAAGACAGCAGGGAACTGACAAAGCCAAAGATCAGATTTCCAGAAACAGCAGAAAAGCTGGAAGAAATTGTTTCCATCTATTCGTCAACTCCTGAATTAAGGCCTGAGCATCAAACATGTGCCACAGATACCATATAGTTCATGGACTAAACAAGCAGAAACAAGCATCAGCCTTCAGTTACTCTCTGCCTGTGGAAAAGAGGGCAGAAAATATTGGGACATATGAATTAGCTCCAGTGCACGAACTCTGTCACCTGTGAGTGAAAACAGCTGAGTGTATGAGGGGCAGGCAGGAGGATTGTGTTCACATAGTGCATAGCCTGATGTCTGGAACGAAAAGCAAACTTACAATTTCCATTTTATACCTAAATTTCTTGTAGCTGTTTATGTCATGGAGAAGAAAAATATATTGGCCTATTTTTCTGACTTTTCCCTTAAAGAAGAATGCCTTTTTTCCTCTTTGCTTAGTTATGAAGAAGAGGAGATACATGATAAAGTAGCTGGTTTGGTCTCTTTCATTGTACACTGACTGCTTCTGAACATCTAATAGTTTTTAGTTATCCAATGGGTTTAAATGTACAAGAAAGTTACAGAACAACAAATAAATTGGATCAGAAAAGAAAATCCTCTCATGCTATAATAATCAAAACACTAGATGTGCAATACAAAGAAATAATATTATAAGCTGCAAGGGAAAAAGGCCAAGGAACACATGAAGTCAATCTATCAGAATTACACCTGGTTTCTCATCAGAGACTCTAATAGCCAGAAGGTCCTGGGTAGATGTCTTGCAGACCCTAAGAGACCAAAAATATCAGCCCAGACTACTATATCCAACAAAACTTTCAATCACCATAGATTGAGAAAACAAGATATCCGATGACAAAACTAAATTTAAACAATATCTTTCCACTATTCCAGCCCTACAGAGGATACCAGAAGAAAAACTCCCACAAAAGGAAGGTAATTTAGTCCAAGTGACACAAGAAATAAATAATTTTACAACAGCAGAGAGAGAGAGAGAGAGAGAGAGAGAGAGAGAGAGAG